AAAAGAGGTAGCGAGCAAATTGCTACACAATATACTCATGTATTTGTTTGGGGTCCCCCCCCCCTTCTTTTTTCCAGATAAATGGAAAATGTGTTTTGTACTGAGGCCTAGACAGGCACCCTTGCCACCATGAGACATTCTAGCCTTCCCTAAATAGCAGTATTGTTGAACAATCGCAAAGCAGTCATTATACGTGAGTTGAGTGTGAGAAACTTTTGGGTACCTGTTTGTCTGCAGTAAAAGGGGAATTATTTTTTTCTCTTTGCCTGAAAGGGACATGAAAATCCAAGGTAGGATTCTACCAGAGCAAAGAGTGTTCAGATGTCTGTCTGGCCTGCAACAAGTAAAAAGAGTTTTCATTTTCATGCAGTTCTAAAATCACTGGCGAAAGGCTGGAAGACCAACTAAGATGACACGTATGTAAGGTGCATCTGGCTTAATATGAAGGTTACTGGAGGGCTGCGTCTACGGGACCTTTGCGGGTATCCATAAGTGTGGGGGTGGGAAAAAGTATACATAGTATATTTTAGTACAATCTGTTTAGAGTTTCTGGGATTTTTTGGCCTTGAAGTACTCTGGATCTTTGTTCTGTGTTTTCATTTATTTTATAAATGGCCACCTCCTTGTAAAAAAGGAAACCAAAGCTGAAGGCGGTTGCTGGATTTAATCTTTCCCTGGAGCACCTTGATTGGCACTTGCATTGCATCTGTTTTGTTCTTGTTTGTTTTAGTTTTTTTTTTCCCTTGATTATTCCATCTTTTTACTGAAAAGAGATGTTACACGTCCAAAAATTAGTCTTAAATTTTACTTAGGCTCATCATCTTCAACTGTTTTTGTGCATCTTTGGGTTTACGGTAATTAGAGTTTCACATGAAAACTAGGGTGAACTGCAGAGGAGTGCTTGCTAAGATGATGCCATTCTCTTTAGGTGCTTAGGAAAGGAAGTTGACTAGTTTAAAACAATCCTGCCTCACTTTTCCTTTACGATCTTTTTAACATTTCTATAAACAAAGAGATCAACTAGAATGGAACACGTTTTGATTCAACAGCTGAAACAGTTTTCTCTCACCCTCATGTCTCAAACTGATATAGTAGATCTATAATTACTAGAAACCTATGCCCTACAGAGTTTATTTTTAGCAAGGAAAATGCTGTAGCTTGAAGTCAGTTTTATAGCTTATTTTAACGTTTTGTTTTTTGCCGAATCTAAGGTAAAAATGTTGTATGGTGGGATTTGCATCACAAATGGTTACATTAAGAATGATGCTTAGTGTTTTTCTAAGCAAAGGCTATAAATGATATGTTTCTTCATGTATGATATTTGTGGTTGCTAATGGTTTATTCTTGGAAGAGTCTTTGCATATGTTGAGTACTTTGAGATAGTGATAGAATGGTTTGTAAGGGCATGCATGCCTTTCTGTAATCTAATCTCAAAAGGCGTTACTTTCACATGATGTGGTTTTGAGAGCTGCTTCTGTATGTACAAAATTGGCAAAGTACCACTGTTACTAAACGCAAAAGATGATAAATATTAATGTCATGGTAACTAATACAGCAAATACAGTTTCAAAGAGTTACTGGGGGAAAACAAAATCTTGTTTTACATGTGAATTTTCTACTGCATGTATCTGTGTAATTTTCTTCCAGTACAAATAGTAGCATATATAATGATCTGGGGAAAACTTTGTCTTCCTTTATTACTGTAAAACTATGTGTTTGGCAAGCTTTCAGGTGTCCTAAAAGCACTATTTAAAAAAAAAAAGGGTGGAGGATGGGAGAAAGAGAGAGAGTAGGTACAGGATATTTTGGCAGCCTTTATGGCTATAACCAAGATGATGATGAGGAAGAGACTTTGACAGCGCTTTTGATTCCCCCCCCCCCCAATATCTAAGATAACTTACATAATTTGTAATACTTCATTTATTTCTGATTTCTCTAGTAATGGGTTAGCTTTGTGTGTACATATGACTGTGTAAGCTGGTGTGTCCTAACTTCCTATTTTTGTGTCACTGAGATAAATTGGAGTAGGAATAAATTTGAACATAGGTATGCTTGACATAAATTGTTTTGCTATGTTTATTTGATGCCCAAATAGATTGCAAACTTAAGCTTTTTAATGCTGCTGCTTTTAGACCTCTTTTTTGTATAGGGTTTGTGCACATAACTTTTTTTTTTTCCCCCTCAATTTGTGTTGAAAAATACATCTCCAGTAAAGATAAGAGCTAGGACTCCCCCTGCAACTATTTCCCCTTACCTCTAGAAACAGTAATCAAAGAGATGACAGATACCAGTTACACTTTGAATTGAGCTTCTAGAAGGCTTTTGAATCCCATTTTGATGTGTAGGAAGACAAGGAGGGAGCCCCTTTCACTTTTTTTTTTTTCTTCCTCTCTCAATTAGATTTTATTAATATGATAGTTCCTAAACTTCTGCCACTTTGTTGTAATAGGTCCTTATAACGCTTTCACAGATTTGCCCATCAGACATGACTTTGGTTTAATCGCATGAAATTTTCATTTGTCATTGTCTGGAGCATTGAAGAGTTTTGATTATTTTCTAACGTGTGTGCAAATCTCTGCCTTTTTTTGTGCAGCAGTAGTGGCAAAGTTATGTCACCTTTCTTGAACGCTCCATTCTTACGGATACAATTCAGAATTGTCCTTGATTTCCATAGGTTTGCTCTGCCATATGTCACTTTCTCCTGTATTTTGCTTATTTATATGGCATCAGCTGCTTTCCTTTTATATGTGGTCTGACTGTTTTTATTATAAACTTCCCTAAAATGTCTCTTTTTTTTTTTTTTCCCACCAGTTATTGCTCCTGTTTTAAAACTCATCTGAAAATACTTTTTTTTGTGTGCATGCCCTTGGTTGTCTTTGTTCTTCAATCTTCTTTCCCACGTAGCCAAACATTTGGAAAGTATGTTTGTGTGCGATATGCTATACTAAATATCAGTTTTTCTAGAAAGACTGAAGATTTGGGTTTGATTGTTTTTGGGGAGGGGGGGAAGGGAGAGGGAGTTAGGATATGTTTTCATTATGCCTGTAATACAGATCATGTTTTCCGTCTTGGTCATTTCCCTATGAGAAGAACAACCTGTTTTACACTTGCAGCACTGAGTAATTGTAAGATGAAAGTTTAGGTGACTATCAATACTTAGGGTTCCCAGTTCCTGTAAGATTCCTAATTTAGGCTTATATTTTTTCCTAATGAAACTAATATCACAGGTTCCATGTTGAGCTACTTAAATGCACCAGTCAACTGCTGCCAAAAGTGGTGATCCATCAGCTTTCTTTATGTTAGATCTAGCTATCGTATGACCATAAGGAAAGTCAGTTTAGTGAACTGATTCAATTAGCAAAAAAAAAAAAAAAAAATCCATTGGGACAGCTCTCCATGTGTGACTTCATAACTGATAGATCTAACTTAAAGGGAGGAAGGAAAATAATGTGTGCCCAAGGCAGCAGAAAGAACTGCGACACTCCTTAGCAGTAGCCTGCCATTATACAAAGTTGGGTGTAAAGTGAAACTCTTCCTTTAGGGTAGACAGCAGTTTCGCAGAACCAGTTCTGCTAGGAGGCTGTAAATTATGAGCTGTTAAAACTATATTGTATTCTAAAATGTGCATGCCTTTTGGAGAAGGCAACATTAATGTTGTTCTGATGTCAGTTCTGGGATGAGAGATGAGGTTATGAGATATTTCTGCTTTTGTGAAAGTTCTAAAGAGACACATATGTTCACAGGTAAATAACTCATTCTTGAACCTATACCTGTTTCATATATTGTGCTTTTGCATTGTTAGTGATATGATTTCAGTAGTGAGTCTGAACAGAAGGTCTTGCAACTGCTGTTCTCTATGGAGAGAAAAAGCGTGAATTAGATAAGAGTGTGGTTAACAAGCTATCTGTTGAAATCTAAGTGAACTACTAATTATTTTGATCTTTCCAAAATTATTTCTCTAGACTCCCAAGTGTGTAAATTAACTCTCTTGCTACGCTTTTCATATAACTTCTGGTTCATAAAAGCTACTTACTTGTGCTGGAAACTCTCTCCCAGGAATTGTCCCCTAAGCAGATAACATTCAGACGAAAAGAATTAAGATTAAATTTAAACTTCTGTAACCTTTTAGAAATCAGCTGATTTATTTTATTGAAGTAGATTCACTGCTGCTGAATGTAGAACTAAAAGAATAAAGGTATTTTTTTCCATTCCTGAAACGTATATCCTGATCCTTGATGAGGTGAAATCAAGAGCTTTGTGAAAGGAAATTCCATGACATTTAGAGTGCCAGTGCATTTCCTCTCTGTTTTTCTATTGCAACAACTTGAGATTCTGTGCACTGGTATTCTTAAATTAAATGGTTTTAGATTTTTGTAGACAGTATTTGCTTTGTGGGTTTTTCAGGCTGTTTAGCTGCTGTTGTGTGCCCCTATCTTTCCCCTATTCTCTTTTTAATTTATTGTGATACTAGCCAGAATTTAACTCTAAAGTGAATTTAGTCTATCTTCTTACCTTCGGTCGGGGCAGCTGAATCTGTTTTTAAACTTGTAGAAGCATCTCAAAAATATATTAGCAATTATTTTTCTTTCACAGCGTTCAAAAAGTTGAGAGTTGCCCTCCCTGTTGAATCTAAACAGATAACGAAGGACATATTTCTCCTTCAAAATGTTATGACATATAGCTTATCTAGCTTTAATCACATTGATGTTTTCGACAAGTAGTTGGACATTTTCCTTCAGTACAGGGTAATGTTTTCTTGAGGAATTGGATGGGTAGATATTCTATAACGTTTACTTTTCTCAGTTTGAGTTGAACTTATGTTAGAAAACTTTGTCAAACAGCTTCAGGATTTTAAGATTTAAGATTTTAAGTTTGGTAAATGCAGAACACTAAGAATGATTTTTTTTTTTTTTTTTACAAATTCTATTGTTAGAAGAACAGAGTTCTATTTAGTTTTAATTGGATTTTCTTAATTTAAACTCATGATCTTGTTTCTTCAGGGTCACGATGAAGAAGCAGTTGTGGATATGGGCAAAATCAGCTCTACTATCAATACAAACTTTGAAAAAGAAGAACTAGAGAGTAAGTTTGGGGTTTTTTGCTTGTTCAAAATCATACCTTTTTTGCCTCAGGGTAAGAGATTCACTTTCCTTTAAGTGCAGCCTGTATCACTAAAAAGAATCCAAATTTTACAGCCACCATGCAGATGACTTGGGCTTTTTATGGTCATTAAGCACGCTAATACATAATTGTTGTTTTTCAAAACTGTCACAGAAACATTTATTTAAAAAGAATCCAAAAAGCTGTTTATGAAACAGCTCTCCAAGGAAAGCTTTACTTTTGAGATTATTGGTCAGACTGTAATTTTGAAAAACTGATTGCTATGGGTATTTAAGTTGTTTCCCAGCATGAGGGTTGTCAAATCCTGCAGAATCGGAAGTGGGGGAGTGGAGGCTGCGGGGGGGGGGGGGGGAGGATATTTCTTTTCTTTTCTGAAAATTGAGTGTCCTTGTGGCTGTAGTGATGCCCTTTAAATACCGACAGTGTAAGCAGATGCAGTGCTGTCAGTTCCGTGGTGAACTGTAAATTCCTCAGTACGCAGTCAGTTAAAATGATTATGTAATTCTGTCAGTCTTCGTTATTTGACTCACAACCCTGCACTCAGCAGAGAAATGGAGTTGAGTCAGTTTCATATGGCAAAATGCAGTATTAGAGTTTGGATCTCCGATTTAATTTCTTACTGGCTTGAAAAGGAAGTAGAGAGGTGTGATAATTCCTGGGTTGTATTTAGTGATGCCAGAGGAGAAAAAAATACGGAGATGTAATGTTAAACTCCTTTTTATTTGCTTTTCACATAGAATAGAGTGCTCTAAAGCTTAATTAACACTTGCAGAATGCTAGGAGACTCTCAGTAAATACATCTAGTAGTACTTTCTGAAGGGATTGACTCTTACTGCTTCTGCACATTGGAGAGCCGTTATAGTGGCTGTTGCTAGCTGAGGAAAAGGTGACTTCAGGTTGCTTTCACTTTAGACGGTTTAAAGTGCTTAGAAAGTGATTTAGAAAGTTAAAAGTGACTCAGTTTTAAAGTTGTTTGTTGCTGTTGCAATCATACTCTTGCTCTGTTCCTCTCAGTCTGTTCCTGCTTTCTGTCTTGTACTGACATTTTTGTTTGTCTGACCATACAATAAGCTGGTTAAAATGTGTTAAGCTAGCAGAAAATGAAACACTCCTGACAACAGAAAATAATAAAAAGAACTCATCAGTTGAGCACCCTGAACCGATTTACTACACAGGTGGATGTGGGTCAATACTGAGAGGAGGGAGGAAGGTGGAATATAAAATTGGGCAGAGAAGAGGTGGAGTTTGCAACACTGCCCATTTAGAGTTAAGCTACTGAAACCACTGCCATGTCTGTTTCTGCAGTTAAACCTTCAGTGCAGGTTTAAACTCTCTCCTCCTTTGTTTCCTTCTCTTGATTTTATCTGAAGGATGACCCAGGAGAAGCATATGTGTGTTGCAGAGAGGAAAGGGTTAAGAGGAAGCAGCCATTCAGCTGGAGTAGTTCACTATGCGGCAGCATGAACAGCTGCAGTGCTTCAATACAGAGAATGACACAGGAATGTGCAGCCAGATCCCTTTCCCAGTCTCTTTCATAGCACAGTCATAGGAATGCTTAAGCCAGTACAACACAGTGATGACACGAGGTACTGAATGAGAAAGCAGGGGTTAAAACTGCTTGAAACGGTTTAAACACGGGTATTGCTGCATGTGAAAATAGCCCTGTCATAGGTGGCCAAAGAATAAACCAAACCTTTTGTTTCCTGAGCAACTGAGTCAATGCAACTGCTATGAAAAGAGATGAGATCTTGCTGTACTCACCTTGCTCTTAGCCATGCAGCCGTACCTCTTTCTTTGGCTACCTCTGACTCTCTTTGGAGTCACCAGATGGAATTCTCTAACCTAAGAGAGGGCTGGTTATCCAGCTATTAAACAAATGACTAGTAAGAAACATCTGACAAGAAAAATGTATGCCAGTAGGATACTCCTCTAGTATCTGAAGCTTCAGATAGGCATGTATTTTCACACTTAAATGGGAATTATTTTTGGTAATGATGATACTATAAAAATACGTATCTTAATATATGCTGTTCCTCCCCTTTCCTATTCTACCATCGAAAGACTTTTCTTACAAATAATTTTGATTTTTGTCAGTGGAAAATGTTCCAAAGTGAGAACAAGTAGTTTTCCCTCTCCTGTACAAAAGAAAAAGGTATGTAAGTACAGTTGTTAATAACTTGTATGCGTGTTTTCTTTTGCGAGGATCATCAGAAGAGTTTATTTAGATTCAGGGTGTTTTAGATCATAAATTCATGTGAACTCTAGAGCTCTTCCTTCAGGAGAGTGTTAATTGCAAGTTGCTATGGTAGGCATAGGTATGTGGGTTTTTTGATTTTTAATTCCTCTATTAAAATCTCACAAGGGCAAAAATGCAATTGTTGGCTGCAATTGCTAAAAAACCTCCGGATAGTAGTATTTTTCACTACTGACCTGTGAAAGTTTCCTTGTAGGAAGAACTATATTAGCATATAAGTATCATTAAGAATTTAAAGATCTGAAACTGTTTCAGTCTGTTATTTCAGCTCATCTCTTCTGGTGGCTTGAAAAGGAGCTCTAGGAATTTGGAGCCTCTCCAGAAGTGCGTGTTAACTTACTTTCAAGGAGAGTCAGCAAGCGGTTAATTCAGGTCAGGTATGATGTGAAGCAGCCACTCGCACCTTCGAGAGCCAGCAATGGCAGGTGACATTAACTACTTTAAAGCCTGTACAAACTAATGCTGGCTGGTTTGGTGTTGCAGAAGGCTCAGTTTTACTACTGCAGTATAGGTTTTATTTGGTGCTGTCAGTATTGGATGCTTCTATTTCCTGGAAATTTTGTGAGGAAATCTTGATGGAAAAAGGACCAGTTACTAAAGAGGAAAATAAATCTTGGAATTAGGGCTTCTCAGTCTCTGCATTCTGCTCATGGTGTTTGAGGAAAGTGTGGTACATATCCAAAGTGAGAGTGCTTAGGTTAGAAAGGTTAAACATAAACTAATTGTTTTATAACTCTCTTCATGTGAAAGAGAGATGGTAAACTGTGTATGTACGAAATTAAGGTGTTACTCCTTACCGGAGGTGTAATGCCTTGCTTTGAAATGATAAATGGCAGTTTACAGAAGAAATAGAAAGGAGAATAACATGTAAAAATAACATTTCTAAAAGCACCTAATATTCTTAACTTAATTCTAGACTCTTTCAACTGCAGTGAATGAAAATAATAATGAAGTAAGGGAAGAGTGTAAGGCAAAGAAAAGTAAGGCAAGAATAGCAGTAGCAGAGGTATTTCATGCTATTTTGAAGACGGAAAGAAAAAAAAAAAAACAGCTGGTCATTTTCTGTTAAGAACCATAAATAAGCAAAGCTTTCTAAAACCTAAGTTGCTTTGTTTGATTTGATAGTGCCAGGCTTTCAGTCCTTTTTTTAAATGAGTAGTTAGTTTTTCACCTTGATTTCCAAATGTATTTACTAGATCCAACCCAAGGGAAAAGGGATTTATTCTGTTATTCTTACAGTAGACCAGTTCCTGGTGTAGTAAAGATAAAGAGTTTACACATAACAGATTTCTTGTTCCAGAAACAATCCGGGGTCAGGAGTGTGTGTCTCAATAGATTAGTTTTCTGTGGCATAAACCCAAGAAGCAGCTTTCAAGAGTTAAGAAGATTTAATAGTTACTACACTCACACTATCTTGTGGCAGGTGTAAGTAGTGTTTACATTTCAAGAGACCCTATTATCTCTGATACCTTCCTTGATGGCTTAAAGCCTTATTTTTCCTTTAAGAAAACAGCTGTGCTTTTCCGTTAATCTTCCTCTATAAAAATAGGTAATTAAATAATCCTTCATTTTTCTGTCTAGAAGTTAATATTGTATATTGAAGTAGAAAACTGGCTGTACAAGTATATTGCAATTTAATGTGTTGTGAGTAGCTAGAAGCTGTTTCAGTGTTATCAGGGGACTTTGGGGAACTAAGAGAATTCCTTCTACAACTTGTAGTGGAATAGACTGCAAATTTAAGTTTTTTTTCAGGTGGCAAGTTTAATGTTGTTCTACCTTTAAATAGCGAAAATTTAGAAACATCTAAAAAACCCTTGAGTAGTTCCTGTAAAATCCTTCCAAGAGAACAGATTGTACAGGAGAACATAAGCAGAAGTAATGCAACAGAACTTACTGTAGCTGCTGACATTTTAAAAATGTGCTTAGTATCTACATTTTTATATTCTGTAATAAGCTGTACTAGTTTAGACAGGCAGAACAGAACAGGTTTCTCATGGCTCTCAAACTACAAAATGAATGTTTAAGCCTTTAACAGACCCCCAAAATGGCCCAGCAAAGAGTCCCATTTAACAGAAAAAATAATTTTGAAAACCTGTTCCTCATGAAGTCGTATCCTTTATGTGGTCAAAAAGTGGAAAAAGTGATGTGTAGCTGTTTCTTAATACAAAACTAATTTAGGATGGTCGTTAATGATTCTTGCAGACCACCTTTCATCCATCCTCTCTAGTGATGTCCCTGAATTAAAAAGGTCTGTCAGCTACTCAGTTGGAATTAAACTGGCAGTAAGCAAAAGCATGTCTATTCAGACACAGTACAGCTAGTCAGATATATTAGACATGCTCTGAGTTTTGCTTAGCATCAACAAAGTGTTCACTTGCACTAGTTACACTAGCAGCTGGTGCAAAATAATTCTTTTGTCCTTATCATTAAGAAATAAATGTTAGCTGTTCTCAGCTCTTCTGTATTAAGTCAAAAAATTGAGGATACTTTTGTAACATGATTCTTAATGCAGTCCTGATTAACTGAGCGTTGGAATTGGGTTGCATCACTACACCTTTGTCACATGTACATTGAAAATCTACAGTCATGTAATATTGTAACTTTTATGCTATGGGAATCCTGCAGTATGCAGTTCACAGAGAAGTTCCACATGACTTCTTGTCCTGTTCATTGTGCAATATTCAGACTTCTGTATAGAGAGAAAAAT